TAAACAGCCTTCTATCAGTGTTCTGCAACACAAACACACAACCATTTGTAGCTATGCAGAGTAAACAGCTTTTCAGTAGAAATGGCTAGAAATACTTCTGGAATTGCCCCTAGAAAAGCACCTAGAGTCAATTCCAGAATCAGTCCCACAGCCAATGGCTGGCTTATTTCTGGATTCATCTCCAGAACCATGCCTAGAACCTCCCCGAGAGTCAATTCGAGAAACACTACAATAGCTGCTAGGCTCAACTCTCAGCCTTATTGCCACAATCACTTCTAGAGCCACTTCTGGAAACACTTCCCCACTGACTGATGGCACCAACCCAAGAAACTTCTCTAGAGTCATTTCAGAAATGTTTCTAGAACAATTTCTGAGGTTGGCTCTACAGTTGTTTCACAAGCCATTCCAGAAGCACTTTCAGAACTATTTCCTGAATCACTTCTACAGTCAAAACTAAAATCATGCCTGTGATTTTTAGCATTTCTTACAGAGCAACAGCTTGGATAATTTCACCTTCTGGTGTGCTACAGTGCTGAGGTGATGGCAGATGCAAGCAAGATTTGTGTACACAGAAATCTGCATGGATTTTCCATTCCAGCACCGCAGCATAAACAATCATTACAATCTCTGTATCCTTTCAGCTTCTTCCCTTTGTTTCTACATAGTATGTTATACTGAGAAATTCTTAACAACAGCCTTGTTCTGTAAAAGTTCTGTGATCACAGCCATATCAAACATATAGCGCTTTTGACAAACTACAGCTTTAAGAGTTATCTGACTACCTAGGACCTAACTTGCAAGGGCTTTACAATGCATTTTATTTATCTTACTGAATAAAAACTAGCAAGTGATTGATCATGGTCTGTAAAGATTTCTGCAAGGGAAGATGGATTACTGAACTAATTACAGAACAGAACAGGATCCAATAGCTCTAAACTGACATAAAAAATAAAATAAAATAAAATAAACAAGTACCTTGGAGATGGTAAGTCACTGCAAGGGCATGCTATCAAGTAAAGTGATAGAATCCTTCAAGATTTAAGATCGCTTGAAGTCTTCATGTCAAGATGAAAGTAGCGTGGTGGGTTTGGGTTTTTTGGCCAGCAGAAGCAGGGAGGTGATTGTCCCCCTGTACTCGGTGCTGGTGAGGCCGCATCTGGAATACTGTGCCCAGTTTTGGGCCCCTCAGTACAAGAAAGACATTGAGGTGCTGGAGCGTGTTCAGAGAAGGGCAACAAAGCTGGTGAAGGGTCTGGAGCACAAGTGTGATGAGGAGCAGCTGAGGGAACTGGGGTTGTTTAGTTTGGAGAAGAGGAGGCTGAGGGGAGACCTTATCGCTCTCTACAACTACCCGAAAGGAGGTTGTAGTGAGGTGGGTGTTGGTCGTTGGTCTCTTCTCCCAAGTAGTTAGCGATAGGACAAGAGGAAATGGGCTCAAGCTGCACCAGGGGAGGTTTAGATTGGATATTAGGAAAAATTTCTTCATGGAAAGGGTGGTCAAGCATTGGACCAGGTTGCCCGGAGAGGTGGTGGAGTCACCATCCCTGGAAGCATTCAAAAAAACGGGTAGATGTGGCACTTTGGGACATGGTTTAGTCTAGTCTACCCTTAATTGGTTTAGTGTGGACTTGGTAATGTTAGGTTAATGGTTGGACTGGATGATCTTAAAGGTCTTTTCCAACCTAAACGATTCTATGATTCTATGATTTTTTTTTTTTTAAAGTCAAGTATTAAGGTCTATAGAAAAATATATTTATTTCCATTATGCAGGTGATCAGAGAGTGTTCTTAAAACGTCTCCTAGCCTGGAAATTGAGCATCAAGAACCATGTCTGTACACAAGACAGCAGTAACTGGAAATACAGCAGTTCAGGCTAGCATGGTAGTTTGTAATCAGAACTGTAGTCAAACTTCTGCTTTCTCTCCAGGCTTTGGAAATGGGCAGGTTTCTACTTCTCAGTCAATGGAATTCTCCAGTCAGATGCTTCCTGAGAAAATGACAGTATAAGGAAAATACAGGAAGCTAGTTTATTAGCTGCTGTTTTTTCAGCTAGCCATACATGCTAAGTTCTTGTGAGGTACCCTAATATCTGAGTAATCTTTACCACTGTACATCACATCTGTGTGAGGAAGCATGACAAACATTTCCTAAAGCACCCTCAAGGCCTAGAAACACATTTCAAAGAGTCAAAGAAAACTCACACTGCAACTCTGCAAAAACACAGAGGTATCATCACAGACTGAGTTCATATGGCAACGCCTTCACTGACATAAAAATATCCCATGGACACCTCCAGGACCAAAACCCACCAAGAACAAAGAGTTCTAACTGACTCAAGGGGCCCTGGGTCAGACTTACAGATGCCATATTTCAACATTTCTCAACTGAAGTGATGAAATGTCTTGCATCTTTTTTAATACAATTGTTAAGAGTTACTAAGTTATATTTACAAAATACGAAAATTAAATTATCTAAATTTTAGTTTCGGAAATACATTATAACTCTGTTCAGGTTCAAAATATACTCAGTCAAAAAATTGATTAATATATCCTTGATGGTGAAACAGAGCATACCAGTACATTTATAACAACTAAGAACTTCACTTGACATTTTCACCCTCTAACTTACCTACGCTTGCTTTTAACACTTTTACACATTTCCAAGTTTTTAATCTCTCTCATGGTCTGATAACTTAGGATGAGGTTACTAGTGACCAATTAGAAGGAATAATTCTTGACATTTGAAAAAGCTCCATTTGTACCTTTTTCATGAAGAAGCGACAGAAAAACCCTTGGCCATAATATTTAAACCTTGGCTCATAAACTTCCCATTTCACAAAAAACAGAAATATCTTACCATATCTACATGACAGTAAAGAACATGCTTTGGAAATGAAACATTCATTTATGGAATAATTATATTTGCATTTGCTGATCCCCTCCCTAATCTCAAAAAGCCACAGAAATTACAGGTTAGTCTTTGCTCCTTACAATAAATTGCCTTATGCAGAATCTCAAGGTAGTGTATGTAATACAGAGAAATATCCTGAACTTGTGCAAACCGGTTTGGAATAACATACTTCTCAGTATCACATGAATTTTAGAAACAGTTCAAATAATTGTGTTTACTGTCTAAAAATTGTTGTAATAGCACATCCTTCTTATGCTGCTTGACATAAATACAGCTAACTATCTAGAAAGATACTCCTTACAAGGAACAATTTCGAAGTGGCCAACTAATAGCACTCATTAAGCCCATTTTTACTTTTGTTAAATGATGCTAACTTAGTAGTGAGATAAGCACAAATAGCCCTAAGTCTTCTTTCCTCTAACCTTAACATAAAATCTTATAAAAACTAGCATAAAATTAACTGTTCCTTATTTGTCAAGACCATTTTTGGTTAGTTTAATCATGAAATCAAATTAATGTAGAGTTATAATCCTTCACTGATCTTAACGTGCCCCTGCCTGCAATTTAAGCTTTGTGGAGCAAATATGCAGCACCTTCAAAACCACAGTTTTACAGTGAATATTTTTTTTTTCAATTGATTTTGTAAAATTTTTCTTCATCTAAAAGAAAAATAAATAAAAAGGAAAAAGATATATTCCTGAATTCATGGGTTGGTAAGCTGACTGCTCTACAATTCTCAAACCCATTGTCCCAGTAAGCATGTTTATTTTAAATGCACCTGAAACTAACACTCCATAACCAGTCTTCATTTATACTTCGAATATCTGTTCATTATCTAAACTTCCAGAGAGACAAGCTTTCAACATAATGATTTTTCATAAGACATCTTTGTCTAAGTGTATTACATAAATGGTAAGGCAATCATTAATTTATATAGTAAAAGATAACACTTAGTACAGTTACCACTAACCTGGTGCTGACACAACACTTCCAAATCAGGCATTTTAATATCATTAACAGTATACTTTTTTCACAATTTAACAAATGAGAAAAAGAAGGCCAAACGGACTTCTGAATTAGGTGCAATAGCACTGTGTTCAAAACCCACATTTTATTATTCCTTCAGTTACATTTTTATTCAATAAATACCTAGTTTTCATGGAATACATCATGCTAAGTCTTAGATGAGCAGCACAGAGAAGTTGGAACTAAAACTATAGGAACATCACACTAAGAGATGAACGCTGGACCACTGGTTGCGACATTTTGCAACATTTACATTACACAGTAGTTTCAAACAGTGATCTCTAGGTAAATGCAAAACTTCTTTTTTTGTTTGGTTTTTTCTTTTTGATTGGTTGTTTTTTTACAAAGCAGGATTTAACACAAATACAGACTTATTTCACTTGCTATACAACCTAAGGACTCTGCCTTCAGAATTGTGCAAACTTACATTTCTGAAGTTATCTTCAGAGAATGATGATGACACAAGCCATTCTTTTATTTTTCCATTCTCAAGCACTCATTTTCAGGAAGTAATTTTAAAGAGAAAATCCCAAAACATTCAGTTAGATCACCTTGAAATATTTAACTTTTCAACACCATTTTATGAATAGCTCTCAGTTAACTCTTTACCCACTTGACTAAATATTTTATGTCTGAACATTTGGGGAACATCTTCCCAAATTTTGTATTGTTTCCTCTGAGAGCAAACAGAACAGTATCTGTTGGAAAAGGTTCAGATTCCTCTCTTTTATTGCCACACATCAAGATCAATAGCCTTTTCAAAAGGGAAAAATAAACCTAGGCCAATTTTTCAATGTACATAATCAGACAACTGCAAAACAAACTGTTTCAGGCCTAGTATCTTCTTCCACAGAAGTATTCAGAAGTGTATCCAGATCACTTGTGGCAAAGTGTGGGCAGAAAAATATGGTGGTGATTAATCACCAGGCACCTATGATACAGAGCCTATATCATGCTTAAATTTGTCAGAAGTGACATTTCTATGGCAAAACTGAAAGGCAGTAAAAGAAAGACTACTTACTATTTTTACTAAACTGAATGACAGAAATCAAGTGGGTGTGGAAGGACCTTGTGCATAACATTCTTATAAAAGCAATTTTGGTCTTACAGTAGCTATTAGAAAAATGAGATTAACTATATTTTTTCTTTTTTAGTTAAGGAGGTTGGACAAGTTGGAATTGTAGGGAGTATCTTTCTACATTTCACACGCACTCAATCAGGTTACTTTGTACCTATGGTGAAGGGAGGAGTTAACAAGGAAATCAGAGTCTGTGCAATCCCAGAAATGAAATGTAATCGGCTATGATTCAAGAGTAACAACATATATTAGGAAAGAAAGGCTAAAAGGAGCAGCTGTTGACATTATTTCCTGAGCCAAACCTTTTAAGGTGTCAGTGAATAGCAGTCTGTACTTTCATTTGAAAGCACTACAAGAATTGCTTGGATGATGTCTCTCGAGTTTAGGAGTTAAACAAAATCTACAACTTCCTCTCAAGATCTCAACACCATGCTTTTAAACCTGTACCAGAGTGGTCAGAGAATGCTTCAACCCAGAGCATAACAAATACAAATGGCATTACTTAGAAGGGCATTTTAATGTACATACAAATACCAAAACTTTATGTCAAACTCCCAGGATCATCTGCAGGCAACAAAACGACAACAGATAATATCATTTTATGAATCTGATCCAGCTTTACCATATAAGACAGATGACAAAAATAAAAGTTTTTTTTCCTTTTAGGAAAAAAAACCCTTAAATGTACAACTTCAGCAAGCTCTCAAGCTATCTTCATTGACACACAAGTCAGATTCTTCTGTCATGTGCATGTATCTTCAAAAATTAAAAGAGCAGGTGGATTTTAACTGAACTTCTCAATCCCATGAGACATTATTTTCTTCCTCCTCCAACATTTCAGGAGGATCCCCAAAAGATAGGAAAGAGAATGGGACACAAAAGCCATTTCTATTCAGTCTTCTTTGTGCAAGGTATCCTGGAAAAGGCTGCATTCTTGTGTAAAGTTGCTGTTGAAACAGAAAGGAGATTATTTTAAAATGTGTGCAAATATATGTCAGCACTTAGGCTTATGTTTTTGAGAATTAATATAGAAGAAAGAAATTTGGAAATTACCTGCATGCAAATATTTTTGCTAACAATACACAGTGCCTTTAAGGAAAAAAAAGAACCAAAATGCTTTTATAGATAAGAAGTGTTCCCTTAATTTTGATTCCAGCTAGTTATGCCTTCTTTTTCTTAACACAGATAAAAATAATGAACTGAGAGTAATCAAATAGCCTACAGTGTTTCACAATACCTGAATAACTAGCCAGTAATTATATTTCTACTAAGTTTCGTATCTGCTTGTAGTGTAAAAGCTGAAAGTATAGTTCTGCAGATTAAAAGCAAGAAGCAGCAGCAACCATGCACTGGAATAAAACAAAAAGGAATTTTCACAAAGTCTGTATGAAAACATGTGCATCTAAAAGAGATGGATAATTGTTTCATACTGAACAGTGAGAAAATTGTAGCAATCTTTTTATGATCTAAACATGATTACCTGCTTGAACAATCTACTTTTCTTGATGGAGGGCTTCTATGAAGGCTTCAAGTTTTTCCTGGATTTCCCGAACTTTTTCTGGAGGAATTAAAAAGATCATCATTTGAATACCTACTACTTAATTGAGGACATGCCCAGAAAGAAAACAAAAAACCAAACCTGCAAACATGAACAAAAACTAATGCTGTCATCAATATTACCCTATGCATTTAGTTTCTTAAATACTAAGATTTAGAACATTTTTCTACATCAAAAGAAATGAAACCTTGTCTCACTTGAAGAACTTCTACAAACATATTTACGATTATCATGCTAATTTAATTAATCAAAAATTTACCAAAGTAATCCAATACTAGAACTGTTGTATTTCAAAAACCTGAAATTTCCGTTAGATCATGCACAGCATAACTACTGTACACCTGTTACATGTATGGAGTTGTTATCTTTAAATAATGCCCACTAATCCCTTTCTCTTTTAACCAAATATCCTTATTCTCCGCAGCATCACAAACACTAGTAATCATTCTAAAAAGAGTTGAAAGCTAGTGCCCTTTCAGCAGGGAGAATTTCAGGGAACCAAACGTCAGCATTCAAGACACCTATTCAAAAGGGCATGCACAATGTTAAGAATGTTTAAAACTTGCACTTGATTTCCTTGCATTTCAGTAGTAACCAGATGGATGTGGGCAGAATCTTATTTCATACAAATACTAAAGCTGGGAGTTTATTTCTCTACAAAAACACGGACTTGAACACAACTACAAATAGTTACTAAGAATGAAAAGGCAACATTGATTTGGAAAAACTCAGAGGTTCAGGGATTTTTCCACTCTTCTCAATTCTATACAACACTTGTCTGTCATCATATAACCTATTTGATTTATTAAATTGCTTATGAAGTAAGATTTAGAACGTAGCTGGAATCCAAAGCTTGCGAGATTTCCTGCTTCTCTCTCACCACATCCTCATTTGAAGCTCCTTCTGTGTGTGATTATAGCCATGAAAAACACACACTTCAGAAATATGAAGGAACAGGGGGAGAGCAGTAGGACAGACAAAAATAAATTAGATGAGCATAAACATAGACAAAAATTTTTTTCCAGCTAAAAATACTCTTGGATTAAAGCCGTATGCTCCCTTGTACGAGATACAAGGTTTGAGGGTTTTTTTTTAAATCTTTTATTAATGTTTTCTTTTCTTTAGCAAAATCATATTTATAAACTTGCTTTGCTGAACTGAAATAACAGCAAAACAGAAAGAAAAATGAAACAATCGTCCTTAAATGGGATACATAAGCACGAGTGGAAAAAAAAAGAAATGACCTCCAAAGAGAATGCTCTAAGAATGTAGCTAAGGGAACTAAAAGTTTCATCCAGTAACAAAGTGACAATCCCAAAGGCAGTTATGAAACCCATTTTAGAACAATGATAATGATAATAATAATAATAATAAAAACTCAACAAAACTCTGTAGTCCTGTACTAACAGAAGTAGAGAATTTTAGTTAGCATTTGAAATGAAATATGGAAAATAGCCTGCATGAGGATGAAGGAATCTCAAACTTATATCTTTTTCATGCAATTCTTAGGTGACAAAGGGCAAGCCACTTATATTTTCAACACTTCAGTGGCTCCTTCCCCTGTGGTGCTTATCTGCAAACACAGATGTACAGTGAGGCTGAATCGCACTCTGGGTCCTAAAGAAAACACCAATGAACTTTCTTGAATTTCAGCTGATTTTGGTTTTTTTTTTTAAAGTACTTTGATATTAAATTAAGATGACAGTCAGTGTAAGGGCAAAACTGCACCTTGGATGTTAAGAAACTGCAGTAGCTGATTTTTACTGGGGGGGAGTTGGGGGAGCAGGAAATATCTTTGATTCAGTTCAGCAGAGAATCTTTGAAAGCTGCCAATGGAAAAAAAAAGTAGTCTTATGATCTCTTCTCCTTACTAAGCACATTCAAAGTGTATTCATTACTATCTTTTTAAATAAAAAAAGAATATGTATTGTTTGCATGTCAGTATATAAGCCTCTTATGTAATGAAAACATTAATTCTATGGCATTTATTTAGGCAACTATTTAGCTCAGCTTCCAATACTGATGCTCTATGTATGTTTACAAAATTGGCCTTTGAAATAATGTCTTATTATCTTGGACAGAGCTGACATATTTTTGGAAATTATTAATCCTGGACCTTACTCTCCAAAGTGAGCAGCAGTTGCCAGTGATAACTGGAGATCAGATCTCATGACCCAGAAGATCTCTTCATGTTGTGCTTTCAATAGCTTTATTTTTGATGTGGATTTTTTTTTTCCCCAGTTGCTACATGCTTTCCCCAAGTATGTTCTTTATAGTGATTAAGCCATTAGACTCAGCAAAAGCAGGCAGATTTAGCAGTATTAAATGCAAATATTTTCCCTTCTCGACCTCTTGCTAATGAAATATTCCAATGAAAATTAATAGCATCAGCAAAAATCTATAATTATTATTTCACCCTTAAAAAAAGGTTTGTGCCAACAAAATCTCTTTTAATTTTCTGATTAGGGCATATTAAAATAACAGGATAGCAAATATGTATTGCACCAGAATATACTGAATCAGCTGTGTTTGCTCAGAGAACAGACATACTAAAATTGCCTCCATATTATGAGCACTTTATTAGTTTTTATACTTGGACTGAACTGAAATGATTGCTTAACTGTAATAATTACGAGGTCCTGAGGTAATTTAATACTTTGAAAAAACATGCTGGCTATTCTTAAAAAAGAACAGTTACAATGACTGCCAAATAGCTGCAATTACTCATGCTATGCCCTGTATTCTTAGCAGTAGTAAAGCCTTTTGCAGCAGCAGACCCCAGCCAACCTGTAACATTTTCCCACAAGTCCATCCTATAGCAGAGAGAAGCAGCCTGCTAAATTGGTTTACTTTTTAAATAGGCTAATGGCAGAGTTATGCATTTACACAACACACATCTTAATACACCAGTAAATATAAATGCTCGGGCAGAACTCTTCCAATGAGTGCAAGTGCAGGGTCTGCAATTCTGGGATAACTGCCCATAGTTTCATCAGCATCATGTGACGTTGCATTTGGAACAACAATTAATTGTTACAATTCAAGAGCCAGATGCTACCCACCTTTATTTGGGGAAGTTCTCTCCTCTGTGAAATGCACAAGCTGTGTACCCATATTTGCAGGGTTTTGATTGACATCTAGATCAAAATATTAGTGACTTACACTTGTAAATTATAGTACATTTTGTTTTGAGGAAGGTTTATCAACATGCCAAACTCAGAACACCATCTGGGTTTCAGATAAGAATACTTACTATATAAGTAAATTAAGGGACAAAGGCGACCTGTTGCTCTTTCTAGGCTTTGTGATACTGTGTTTTTCCATGTACAAGTAAGCCACAGATTAAAAGCATTCAGCTTACTAGCAAATTATTTTTGTAACAGGTTGAACTACCCCAGCACTGTTATACAATGCTCCAACATCACGAGGGCTGTTAAAGTACTACACTCTTATTATACGGTACTGCAGAAGTTTAAACATACGCTATCGCTTACACTGGATTCTAGAAAGATGACATGGTCTTTGGTAGTTTTAATGCAGACCTGAAGTAACAAATACATAATTCTTCCAGCACCTGTTAAACAGTGATCAAACATCAAATGAAATCAATGAAGAATAACTGTAACTAAACCCTTGTTTCCATCTTTAGAACAGTAAAATTCACAGGCCTAGGGGCAATGAATGGCTATTCTACTTCCCATTTACCCTGTGTTTACCTAAAAGATAAGCTGGTTCATACATCAACTCTTTATGCCCCTTGATCTGGTCATGAATATTCCCATAATCCTCCCTCCATATCCCATAAAACTTCACTGACAGAATGAGGAAATTCTTTATTCAGATGTCTTGAGATCCTCATTCATGCTCAGTCTCTCCTTATCTCCATATGAAATGACGTTGCTACCCACTCATTTTCTTTTCATTAATCCTGTGATCCTAAATCTAAAAGGCTCAAAACCAGATTAATTGATCTGTAATGAGGATTTGGATACACTGTGAACACAGAAAGACGCAGCCACAGATAAAGTTTGCTTTTCATAATATCATAAGCTGGTCAGAAGGGAAACCCCTGAAATATTCAGTCTTACAAGGAGTGCTTGCTTACTGATTGCTGCCTTAGATAGCCGAGCTTATCTACTAATTAACAATGCAGAAGCTGGGGAATCATTGCTAAAATGAAACTGCTGAAGTTAGTTAACAAACTAATCTCCTGAGGTAAAGTGAAATAATCTTAAAATAATATTCAACACAAATTACAAAAACAAAGTACATTACTGATTACCATGCTCTAAGTAGCAAGAAAAAGTTTTCTAGATATTTTCCAACTGCATTAATTGGTTTAATAAAAGATGGGGCCTCTGCCCACAAAACCCATCTTGCTTATGCTTCTGAAGATAAATGAATTTTGAGACATTCAAATCGTATATACTTACCTGTAAAAACCCAACGGTTTTAGCACAGAATTTTAAAGATGTTCATGTCTGTCTGTGCCACACTGGGAGAAAACTGCATGAGTATTTTAGGAAAAATCAAAATGCTTTCCCTTCCCCTGTTTACAAGTTTGCCCATATGACATAAATTTTCAGTTGTAGCATGAATAAAAATTGTAAAATCTTTCTGGACACAGATCCATTTTTATTTTGTACCTTGACAAAACTTATAGCATGAAACAACCATGATAAAAATGTGTTAATACCTCATAATAAATTCTCCTGTTCTACATTAAAGTGATTTCTACCTCCAACTAATGTTTACATGGCTTTGATATTTGAAAGCTCATGGTTGTTACTCCTTTTGCTCTGGATTCTGCTTAGACTTTAGTCCCCTCTCTTTTTTTTTTTTTTTTTTTTAATCTTCCTTTCTTAATCCTTTCCTTGCCTATAAACATTCTCACTGCTTGCTGTGCTACTTCTATGTTATGGTTAATTAACCATAGAGGCAGAAATGTTGAGTTTACTGCTATGAATGCATCATCTTTCCTCTAGTAAAAAGGAAAGCCC